AGCGGAGTGGGAGATTTCAGCGGAAAGGACGCCGCCGCTCCGGTGATTCGGTCCCTCTGTGTTTGAAAGCTCTGGTGAATATGTACCTATGGTTGGTGCGCACCTCAAAAATAAGCTGTACAGTACTTCTTTTTGAACTGGCTCTTTTTGAAAGTTTCGGCACCAAATTGTTTTCATCGGAATGGGCGGTGTACTTGCGTCAACGTCGGCTTGTCCACCACTGCGTCCGCTCATCCGCTGTGATCCCAAATAGATTGCGATGTTCTCTCTCTCCTTCCATAACTAACCTGTCCGTCTGTCCTGAGTAGAGCGGGAAGGGGCGGGGGGAGGGGGGTTAAAGTACGTCAAAGGCGCTGTGGGACGTCTTCTGCTCGTCTATGACGCTGGCTGCTGGAACAGTCCCGCCGCCCACCCTCTGGCCCTGTCTGCCGTTGTGCAGAGACGGATGCTGAGTGGCGGAGTACGTTGCCTGACTGTTGCCGACACGCTGTTGTCAGTACAGTTCCTCAGTGATATTGAACTGTCTAGGAGTGGAGAGTGGTATAGCCAGCTGACCTCTCGGTGGCTGCCGGACGAGCCGAGCCGACCCATCCCGCTGACCCCCGCCGCGGTCACCGCATGGAGCGAAATGGAACTGGCTCTGCCACCCTCGCTGCGACAGGAAACGGACACGTCCTTGTCCCCCACTGACTGGCAATTATACGCGATTCCACTGCGGGAGGCCGGTGACAGGGAGTGTAGTGGGCAGAGGTTGGTCATTGCAATAAGGACTGTGCAAGCTGAGCTCTGCGCCTGGCCGGCCGCGGGCGGACCAGAAAAAAAATTATTGCCATACTTTGCAGGCCGAACTTTGTCACCCATCACCCATGTACCGGGTGTTGCATAGGTGCGGGCGGGTTTGCCTACCCAAAGGGGCTATGGCGCCTTACGGGCAGGGCGGGTAGGCAAACCCGCCCGCACCTGCGTCTTTTCTGCAACATCCGGTACATAGGGAGACTATAATTGTGCACTTTAAAAAAATGCCAACATTTGGTATTCCAAAACGAATCGCAACATTTTGACACACTAAGCACTGCGCTGTGTTAAAGCGTAGGATTTGTGTGGGATCTTTGTTGCCCGCGGGCTGCGTTGGCGCACGGCTTCACAAAGACAAAAGAACGTGAGGTACTTCGTGCCCACTACTTTAACCATGGGGTTTTAGCAAGTCTTGCAAGTATTGTTCTAGGAGCCAAGTACGCAGGTGGGAAGTCAGAGCAAAGCAAACGTATATTGAAACGCATTGAAACGTTCGCATCGCAGCGATTCTCGGAATATTCCACTGTACACTAAAACATTCCATTCCTTGTTGTTTGCAGGTGAGCTGTCAGTGCGTCAATGTGGTGCTCGTCGGTGTCGGAACGTCGACTCCGTCCTCCGTGAGTACAGATGTATGGCTTGTTGCCGTGTCAGGTCGAACTGATTTATTAAAGGTTTTGTGCATTAGGCGCAAACACGCGATCCGTGTGCAACATTAAGCACCGTACCGCCTTGCACCTACACCCGATAAAGCTGTTGCGGAAGACGCGACGACGACGCGCGATAGAGGGGCTATTCTTAGATTTCAGTGTATCGTTCTCTCATGTGTGGTTGAGTCTGAGAGAGACAGCGAGAGAGGTTGAAAGGGAGAGAGAGAGTGAGTGCCTGGCGCTGCCGACTGCTTCTGCTCAGGTAGGGACTCGACGAGAGGCCTGATAAGGCAGGGCGCCAGCGGTGTAGGTCAAGAGTCGTATGCGCCGGGAGAGAGTCGAGCACAGGGGAGAGATTTGTTGGGGGTGCGCTGGCGCTAGTTGTGAGTCCGGTTGTTGAGGTGAGCAGCTCTGCCTGCAGTAGTGTGTGGTAAAAATTATCGAAGACGGAACGAATGTTAGTTTTACTTTACTTGTGTAATTTTGTCGGGCGGTTGCACTTCGCGGATGCACCGTGCCGTTGTTCGGTGGGCGGGCAGGCTCAAGGCTCGCATACGGCGCGGGGGGAGGGGCTGCTTCTCAAAACGCCGCCGCCGCCGCCGCCGACGGGCGCTTTTGCTCCTCTCTGAATAATGACACACATGCGCACCACCGCCACAGTCGTAATAATTGGCTCCGCCAAGCTCTGTGTGTGAGTGTGTGTGTGTGTGAGTGTGAGTGTAAAACAAGAGGGCGGCTGGCGGGAGTTTTGTTTTACAACAGAAGAATAAAAAGGAGCGCATAGCCTTTGCCGACGCCCCCTCTGCCGCCATTGTAGAGGTGCGCGCCCCGCCCGCGGTACTCAGCGCGCCCACCGCGCACGGCGCGGGGCTTCGGCAAGAAGCTCGCATGCGGCGGGGGCACCCGGGGCGCACGGCGCGGAGGGGGTGGGGGGTGAACACCTCCGGCAGAGGCACTCGCGCGCGCCACGAGCACTGCAGCAGTAGCGAGCGAGCCCCCCCCTGCGCGGGACAATGAACACCCCCTTTGTAACTAGCCTGGCTCCGTGACCGAGTGGGACTTCCCCCCCGCCGCCACCGTCGCCGCCGCGGTTGGAGGCGGCCGCGCTCGCGATCGGCGATGGGTGGTGCTGAAAGTCGCAAAGAGAACTAGATTGGTTTACCCGCGCCGGTCGTGGTCGTGTCAGTTCCCAATATCAAGGCAGGTACACCAAGTTGGTGTACCTAACGGGTGTTTCAGAGCAGACACAGCAGTGTCAATAGCCATAGCTTCTGCTATGCTGCTCCAGCGACTATTTTATCCAACGCTTTAGTTTGCGTTCTGGAACTCCTGCTACCTCTGACATGACGAATGTGCCAGTGCGCAGATTACATTTTTGGCAGAGTCCCGTATACTCACCCAACCAACCCGACCATCCCCTCGCCCCACCCCTCCTCTGACCGCTGTGCTTGCCACTGCGATTTTCATGGGGCTCGGCCGCACTACTCTGCTCTGCCGGGGTCGGGCGTGCGTGCCGGGCCGACCCCTAACTGGACACACTTCTCCGTCCTCATTGTGAGCTCAAAACCCTAATCCCCCCCGCCGCTCACCTAGCCCCTCCAGTCTCCCATCCCACCGCAGGGCTGCGCGCCCTACGGCGCTTTTGGCAGCCCGTCCACCACGAGGACCCGTGATGCGGAGCCGTGCGCGCCCCGCTCGGCCGTGCCACAATGGAAGGGTTGGCACGCTGGATATGTTGCCGACCGACCGACCGACCGACCGACCGAGAGACAGACGGGCCGACATTACGGGAAGAATGCCTTCGGCGGCGGGAAATACCGGCGACTCTACTCTTTTCTTGGAAATATAACTAGCGGCTGGACGACTGAATGGGAGCACGTGATGGAGTCAGCTGCTGCGGGGAGAGCCGGCGTTTAGATTCGTAGAATCGACCTATGACCGTTCCATACAAAAACCGTAACATGTCGTTCTGAGTGCTACAAGTACGTGGAAATTTAAAGCAAAATGCGATTAGTTGGGTTAGTGAGTTAGGAGAGAGAAATGTAAACGAAGGATTTTTTAATGAGAGATGTCAGTCTTAGAACAATGGTATCCATAGGAAGAGTGGAAGTCGCTGGTTTATCACAGTGGGTTGCGTCCTCGCGGCGGAGGGCACCGCTGGCTGCCACTCAAGGCGCCTGGGGGGCGTCGTTCCTTCTGAACACCTCGTCGTCGTCGTCGTCCTCGCGCGCCTCCTCGTCGGGCGTGGCCGTCCTGGACGGGAGGACGAGGTCGCCGTGGAACTCGGCCAGGATGCGTTCCAGCGTCTTGCCCTTGGTCTCGATGGCGGCCAGGGCGACGAAGGCGGCGCCGGCGAGGCAGCAGCCGGCGAACAGCCATAGGCAGCCGTGCATGCCGAGCAGCGACTGCAGGTTGAGGAAGAACTTGGTGGACACGAAGGCGCACAGCGTCTGGCAGCCGATGCCCACCGCGGTGGCGAGGCTGCGCGCCCGCGCGGAGTAGGTCTCGGACAGCATCACGAGCGGCACCGGCCCCAGCCCCATGGCGAACGCCACCACGTACAACGACATGGCCAGCACCGGCAGCCAGCCCACCGCAGAGATGTCGTGCCTGAAACATGTGCAAGTATTTCCAATGTAACGCATTTGACTTTGCCACGAAAACCGTTGTTTGCAATTCGTGTCACTTGCTTACCCGAGATTTTGGGCGAAGAAGCAGCCCCCTAAGGTGATGAGGCAGGTGGCCATGAGGACGTTGGAGACGATGAGGAGGGTCTTCCTGCCTGTCCTGTCGATGAGGAAGGACGACAAGTACGTGGCCACGGCCTGCAGCGCCGCCACGATCATGGCGGCGGCCGTGGGGGATAGCGAGCTGCCGGCCTCGTGGAAGATCATCTCGGTGTAGTTGAGGACGGCGATGACGCCGCAGAACTGCTGGTTGGCGAGGAGGACGAGGCTCTGGATGAGGGCGCGCCGGGTGCCGCGGTGCGTGAAGAGCTCGCCGAACGAGACCGTGTCCGAGTCGGAGGACGAGTCTTCCCGCTTGGCCGCGGCCTGCAGCGTCTCGAGCTCGGCGTCGACGGCCGCGCCGCCCCGGTACCACGCCAGGGAGTGGCGGGCCGCCGCCGTCCGGCCCCGCTTGACCAGGTACACGGGGGTCTCGGGCAGCTTGAGCAGGCACAGGAAGTACACGGCGGGCAGCAGGAGCAGCACCAGCGGCATGGCCCGGTAGCTGCACAGACAATTACGTTAAATTCGCGCTGACCCCAGATCGAAATGCGGGACACTTTCAAAAGTTGACGTACGTGGTAAAGGAGCTGACGGCGAAGCTGACGAAGATGCCCGAGTTGATGCCGACGGCGAGGAAGGTGCCCAGGGCGCCGCGGTGCGCGTCCTCGGCCGTCTCGGCGATGTAGAGCGGGCTGATGACGAGCGTGGCGCCCGAGGCGATGCCGCCGAGCAGGCGGGCCGCGTACAGCGGCAGCAGCGAGTCGGTCGTGGCGATGAAGATCCACGACAGCGCGTAGGGCACGGCCACCACGAGGCCCGCGACGCGCCGGCCCAGGCGGTCGGCCAGGGCGCCGAACAGCAGCGTGCCCGGCAGGCCGATGAGGAAGTTGACGGAGGCCAGCCACGACATGTGCTCCGGCGACACGGGCTCGCCCACGCCGTCGGCGTCGTTGTCGAGCGGCGAGAGCGTGGCGTTGGTGAGGACGGGCCCGGCCGGCGACGGCCAGCCCATGACGGTGCCGGCGGCGAGCGCCGCGATGTTCACTGCGGGGCACGACGCGACAAGCTTACTTATTATTGCCGGCAGCGGAGCCGTTCGACGCCGGGGAGGCATCCCTTTGACGCGCGGGCCGCGGGCCCCACGCAGACCCATGCGCTCCCGCAAATTACCTCCGCGAGGAGCAGATCCGTGAAGGGCTTCACGCTGCTTTTGATGTTGACCTCCACGGCCGCGGCGGGCCCGGGCCGGCCGAAGGGGAGGCTCCCCAAACCTTTGACATTTCTCCAGGGGTCGCGCGCCTATTCACGGCCCGGCCCGACGCGGCCTCCAGTTGTGTCACACGTAAATGGCCTTTTTGTTTTTTTTTTTGTTTCTCTCTCTCTCGTCGATTTCTCCTCCTAGAGAATCTCGCCTCCGCACCTTTCTGTGTCGTCTAATCAAATTCGCGCGTCGCGATGATCTGCAGTGCATTTGGCCTAATGAGAAGCCGAGGATCGCGCGATAAAACTGGAGGCGGGTTGGAGAGAGAGAGAGAGAGGTAGAGTGAGAGAGAGAGAGAGAGAGAGAGAGAGAGAGAGAGAGAGAGAGAGA